AAAAATCTAGCAAAAGTGTGGCCCCACATTTTCTCATAGCAGCACTCTCCTTCCCCATTATATGGGAAAGGGTTTTCCAATGTGCCATGGTTCCTGGCAGCTTCGCTCACTGATTGTCTGGTCCTAGAAGCCATCTGAGCTTTTCCTCAGCACTGAAACAGCTCTAATGCTGAGATGCTCTGATCCTATAATCATGGACTTAACAGAGTTCTGGGGGGAGTCTGTATAGAGAGATCAGGGAAGATGGAAAGAAGTGGATGAACCAAAGAGACTTGCTGTGGACCTAATGTACCTTCATGATGGATTGAGGTTGAGGGGAGAATTGAAAATGACATGAAGGCTAGATGCTTAGTGACAGCCCTCACTGAGGTAAGGAAATCAGGAATAGGCTTTTTCTCCATGTCATCTCCCTCTGTCACTTCCTCTAGGATTGGGCCTTTTCTAGCTATTCCCGTAACTAGCACACTCACCTCACTGGGTTGGAATGGCCTGTTTATGTGTTTCTCCTACTAGACCATAAGCTTCATAAGTGCAGAGACCAAGTCTGTATTGTTCATTACATCCAGAATCTAGGATATGGCCTGGCTCAGGCCCAGTGTCAATCAAAGTTTGATTATCAAAGAAATTAATTAATGAATTTTGGTTTTAGATCAGTTCTTAGTAGTGTGGCTCATATAAATTTCCTTGCATCTTACTGGGATACCCACAAAACCAAGTTTTAGAGACTCAAAGCTAAGGATCAGACCATGGAGAGTTCTTTGATGTAAACACTACCTCTGGAGTCTCCGTGGTAGCTCATCTCCTGCCCCTTCCCAACAATGCAAGAGGATGCCTACCTGGGTATTGTCCTCTGGTCCCAGGAGAAAGCCCATGAGGAAGCCTTTATCATGATGCCTTCCTCTTTATGTATTATAAGAAGACACTAAAAATCACACTGTAAAAATGATAGTAGTCACAAAACACTGAATTCTAATTAAAAGTAGGCAATGTCCTGGTGGTCCAATGGTTAGGACTCTGCTTTCTCCCAAGGGCCCAGGTTCAATTGCTGGTCAGGGAACTAAGATCCCACAAGCTGCTCCATGTGGCCAAAAAAAAAAAAAAGATACCTGACTTTGGGACTTCCCTGTTGATCCAGTGGTTAAGACTCTGTGCTTCCACTGCAGGGGTGCAGGTTCCATCCCTGGTCAGGGAACTAAGACAGTGCATGCCCCACAGTGAAGCCAAAAATGAAATGTTGGGACTGTGAGAGTGAGTTGTTAATCTCTTCCCAAATACCCAAAATGTAAACAAGGTTTACTCAGTTTGGCCGTTCATGCCCCAGAAGTGTACCTGGAGCTGCGAAGAAAGGGCAACGTGTCTGTGAGTGCCACACAAGTCTTGTCCTGAAATTCCTAGAAATCAAAGGTGAGGCTTGCTTGGTTGAATGAATATAGCCCACAGTTTTGGAGGACAGTGTAGTTATCTCAAGACCAGTGCAGTGGAATCTCATAGAAAGCATTTAGCATACGTGGATCCAACTAGAGGAGCTTGGCAAAAAAAGGAGAGAGAATTTAGAGTGAAACTGGGTGTGCCTGCCTCCCTGTTCCCTGAGCATGTGAGATGGAGGACTAAAGAGCCCTTCTGCTTAACCAGGCTGTGTAGGTCTTGCTTCCCCGAAGGCCTGCTCTTCCCTGAGGGTGAGCATCTAGCTGGGCTGAGTGTTCAGTGACTTATATTTTTTTTCTACAAGACCCCTGAATAAGCCGACAACTTCCTCTAGTGTTCAATAAAAGAACCAGGGATCTGTGCCAGTCCTGAGGGAACACTGGATTCACAGAGAGAGGGTACATCAGTCTCCACTAGAGCACCTCTTAGGGGATTACTGATCAAGGATAATATCCACTCTATTTGGTCATCACTGTTTTGTTTGTTTATTTTGGGCCGCGCTGGGTCTCTGCTGCTGCGCATGGGCTTTCTCTAGTTGCAATGAGCAGGGGCTACTCTTCATTGTGGTGCTCAGGCTTCTCGTTGCTGTGGCTTCTCTTGTTGCAGAGCCCAGGCTAGGTGCTCGGCCTTCAGTAGTTGCAGTGAATAGGCTTAGTTGCTCCAAGGCACATGGAATCCTCTGAGGCCAGGGATCAAAACCATGTGCCCTGCATTGTCAGGCGAATTTCCAATCACTGGATCACCAGGTACGTCCCAGTCATCAAGTATTTTAGATAATAACACCTTCAAGTGAAATATGATGATGCTATTGCATTTTCAATGATTTGATTAAAATTCATCAGTGACTCACTCTGAACCTGGAACTGAGTCTCTGAATATCAATAGAACAATATTACAGAATAAATTTTGAAATAGTTTTCATTATTTTATTTTATTTGGCCTCGCTGCTTGGCTTGTGGGATCTTAATTCCCTAATCAGGGATGGAAGCTGGGCTGAGAGCAGTGGAAGCACCGAATTCTTACCACTGGATCACCAAGGAAGTCCCCAAGAATTTTAAAAATTTACTGTTTTGTATCATTTCTAAAAGACTCACACTACTGATACCCCCTTCTCCAGGGGAACTTCCTGACCCAGGGATTGAACCTAGGTCTCCATTGAGTTAAACAAAATATGCTATTAAAATTAAGCTCATCTGTTTCTTTTGCTGTTTTTTTTTTTCACGTGGCTACTAGAAAATTTAGTTACATATGTGGCTTTCACTCGTGACTCTTATACTTCCTTTGGCTAGTGCTGCCCTGATCTCTTCAACCCCAGAAATCAATGATGTCTCCTGTCTTTCCATGAGATTAGGCACAGTGGCAGAGAGTAGGCACTTATTTCCCAGACTTACTGAATGAAAGATTACAGCGGAATTATGTGCCAATCTTGTTTTCCTGTTTGCTTGGGATGCTGGGAAACTCAGAACTGTTTCATGCGAATTCCTGAGGTCCTACTCTGACCCAGATCAGCTCTGGACTGGAGCGAGGGTGGAGGAGGCCACTTAGGCAGAATTCAGCTTTGTTCCTGGAGCCAGAAAAGTGAGACTGTCACAGCACCCTCTTCCACAGAACATTTTTCTTCTATAAAGTGAGGCCCTGGGACTTCCCTGGTGGTCTAGTGGTTAAGGCTCGGTGCCTCCACTGCAGGAAGTGTGGGTTCAGTGCCTGATCAAGGAACTTAGATCTCATGTGCCATGCAGAGTGGCCAAAATATAAAAACAAAAATTAAATGGGATGGCAATAATCCCTAACCCACTCCATAGGATGATTGTGGGATTAAATTAACTAATACAGGCAAAGTATTTAATACTTAGTACATAGTAAACATAGTAGTGGAACATAGTAGTGTTACTGAAAGTTGGGGTTTGGTTGCTTGACACTCAAAAGCCAACAAAGAGGCAAGTCTGGTGGAAATGAAAGTTTGGTTTACTTCGGAGGCAGGCAACCGATGGGGAGGGCAGACTCCTATCCAAAGACTGACTCCCGATCACTGACAATCAGTGGGCAAGAACTTTTATAGATGAAGGAAGGGAGTTACATTCAGAAACAGCACAGTCAGCTTTAAAAGTCATCTTTAAATTGGTCTTGCAGGGCCCTGATCGGTGTCCTCTTCATTCTTTTAAGTACAGTGAGTCTTTAGTTCCAGGATCTGCTTGTTCCCATTTCTTTGAGCCCAATTCTTGGCAGTTGTGGCAGTTTATATCAGGGCTATAGTCCAGTCATCATGTAGCTAACTTCTTCCACCTGGTGGGGGTTTCAGTCTCTGTGAGACAGTTCAAAGGCTCAGAATATTAACTATAGCCCTTGAAGAGGAACTAAAGGTCCTTGACTATGCTTAATGGCTAAACTATTATTATTTAGTCTTGATAGACTATTTTCCTTTGTCTCAGCATTTCCTCACTTCTCTGATTAGATTTATTTTTTGGCTAAAGTTTTTCCACAGACAAAAGGCAGGCTGAGGACATGCGGGGCAAGGGTCACAGGGTCCTGCTCCATTTCAGTTAAGTGCTGAAATAGCATTAGTTACTACTACTCGGATCCACCGCCCATATCAGGTCATGGGGACATTGAATCTGGTACAGCTTCTGCTCTCCAGAAACTCAGTTGGGTCTGGGTGCTGGGGATGCAGATAAGTAAATAAGTGTGATAAGCATCATAGGTATCAAGGTAGGGACAATAGGATACTGAGGAGGGCAGAGTGTTGGAGAAGATGTCACAGAGCTCCAACCCTTGAAGTGAGGTTTACAGGACACTCAATACTTACGTGTTGCCAGACAGGCAGGCACATAAGTCAGAATGAATGCGAGCAAAAGAAGGACTCCCCCCAACTTTATGAAAATAGCTTCTGATGAAAAAAATAAAATACATTCATAAAAATTGAAAAGATAGAGAAGCAAATAAATACGCCACTCTTCTGGTTAAGCAGCGTAAACATTTTGGGACACATGTTTCCAGATCTCTCTCCAGGCAGTGAGATGCTCTGTGATGAATGGTGAGCACCTGCAGTGTCACACAGATGGGATTACAGAAATGCATGGGCGCCATTGAAGGACACTGGTGTCCTGCCAGGGGGGTCCCCAGGGAGTAGACAGCTTGGTCAGGGGGCAGGAGGGTGCAGAAATAATGAAGCCAGCTCATTCTGTTTCATGTCCCACTGCTACCACTTGCAAGCTTTGTGATCTCAGACAAGTCACTTAACCTTTCTGAGTCTCAGACTCTTCGCTTGGAAAGTGAAGAAATGATCATTAACCTCCTGGATTTCTATGATTGAATAAATGGTGTCTTTAAAGCACTCAGCATAGTGCCTAGAATGTGGAAAGTGTTCGTTAAGTGGGACAGATTATCACTGCTTTTAGTGCAAATAAACAACTTGGCACTTAGGTTTATGCTAATCTTCAATGCTTTTGTTTGGGTTGGTTCACTTTGTTACCCTTACCTTGCGGGTTCCCCCTTTTGTTTTTTGCGGAGGGCCGGGACACACCAATTCCTTTCACACACACCAGGCACTGTTTGCTATGAGTAGAAGGACCAGACTATAATAATGTAAGGGGCAGAGACGTCTTCCTTAAAAGAAAGATATGGGAAAAACTGTGTCAGAGATCAGGCTGCGGAAGCAGAAGGACATGGCCAAGAGAGAGAAAAAGGCCAAGGAGATCCTAACTCATCAGGCTTCTTCCAGGCGTGTGAGATCAGCGTCTGGTCTGGGGAGGCGGGGCCCGAGGACGGCGGCAACAAGGACCTGCCCCACGGCCGGTAAGGGCTAGGAGGGGGAGGGAGGGGGGAGGCAAGCAGGTTAAAAAGACCTTTCTTGAGGGGATGCTACCAAACTCAGATGAAGGACGGCGAACACAGCTGGAGTACGCAGAGACAGTAAGTTTGTCTAGTTTGATTTTGGAAAGTGGCAATTCCATCATTCCTAAACCGGCTCTCCCAAAGTGCTGCGTACTTCGCCCTCTGGCGGCAACAACTGACAACTACAGGGCCTTGATCAACTCCCAATAAAGGGGTGGAGGCGGGGTGGGGCTGGAGCTTCTGCTCTACCCCCACACACTCTCCACCCTGTTGTCTGGTCACTAGCCAACTGGGCATTTTTGGTTAACCTTGTGCAAGGGGCTGAGAATATGGGACAGTACATAACTGGGAGGTGAGCATTCTCCACACACACACAAGAAGAGGCTAGAGGCTGGCTTCCCAGGATCTGACTAGTGGAATCCATGCATTAGGTCTGAATATACCATGACTCCACTAAGGTGACTGGAGGACCGGAGCAAGATGGTAACAAGTCAGTGCTATCAAATGCCTAGCTTCCTGCCCAGAGACAGGCCATGTGAACGGGTGACTGGTTAGCTCAGAGATAAAGGGAGTGGGCAGGAGCCAAGGCCTGGCATGAAGCCATCACTGGGATACAATGGGGGGCTGGCTGCCTCTCTACAGCAACAAGTGCTTTGGGCTTTTGTAGAAAGATGTCATTAGGACTCTTTGATCTAGTTCTCCAGACTCTGATTTCACAGGCTCAGAAGCCCCAGAAGGGGTCCAGGCTCTTAAGTTACCTCTACTTAGCCTTGACCTTCCCCAGAGAGACAGTGGCCATGTCTGCTTCATGAATGTTGCAGGCCTCCACGAAGCCAGTGAGCTGGGGAGAAATTGGGAGTAGTGGAACTTGTCTCCACTGCTGATGGGGGGAATGTAAATTAGCACAGCTGCCTTGGAAAGTTTGGTATCCTGAGGAATGTTGGTTGTGGGCCCCCAAACCCCAGCAATTCCACTGCTGAGTTATACAGCTAGAGTGCTGATCTTCATTTTTTTGTGCTCACTTTCTCTCTACAAGAGTTTGAAGGATGCAGTTTTCCTTTGTCCATTCCAAGTTATGCAGAACTTTAACACAGGTAGAACTTTTCATCCTAAGTATAAACAAATTCAGAAAGATTATGATTTCCAGTATCATCATAATGTAAACTCTTGAAAATGAAGCAGTCATTCTTTTAAATATATCCATAGGAATATAAATGCCACAGTGATTCAAACTCACAATTATCCATTTTAAAGATAGACAAGTTTTTCTTGAATAGATACATTTACATATTATTGTTTCATTTTCTCCTTGATCTTTTATATATTTCCATTCCACACAACCCTGGAAAATCCAGAGTTCTCTGTGGAGTGGATCCACAACCTCATCCCCTTCCATTCTTCTCGCCCTGGTTGGCTGACTTACTCGGCTCTGACTCAGATGAGTGATTTTCCAGGAAGATCCCAAACCAGCCAGGTGTTTTTCTAGTTCAGTGACCCGTTGAAACTTATAGTTCTTTTCCATTACCCCTGTTTGCTCATCAGGAAGGGTCTGAACCAGGATCTTAGCATGCAGGGGCTCAAGTGCTTCTAACCACAACACTCTTCAAAGATTGCTGCTTATGTAAACAACAAGGAATTTCACACACTAATAATTACATGTATTGAGAGCTTATAATGTACCAGGCACCGTGCTAAGTATTTTACAGGCCATTATTGCCCAATAATCCTCACCATGCAGGTTAACCTATTTACCACACTATTAATTCATTTTACCAACAAAAAAGAGTGTCTTCTAATGTCAAAACCTTATCTCCCCCAGATAAAATTACTTATTAATATCCAGGAATTTAAAGAATTAGGCAATATCACTTTCCAGACATTACTGATAATATTCCACCACTAAGAAGCCACAACTGAAATGAAGCAACTGACAAAGAATTAATCTCATAAATATACAAGCAACTTCTGCAGCTCAATTCCAGAAAAATAAGCAACCCAATCAAAAACTGGGCCAAAGAACTAAACAGACATTTCTTCAAGAAGACATACAGATGGCTAACAAACACATGAAAAGATGCTCAACATCACTCATTATCAGAGAAATGCAAATCAAAACCACAATGAGGTACCATCTCACACCAGTCAGGATGGCTGCTATCCAAAAGTCTACAAGCAATAAATGCTGGAGAGGGTGTGGAGAAAAGGGAACCCTCTTACACTGTTGGTGGGAATGCAAA